ATATATATATACATATATATATGTATATTAATTATTTCAACTAAAACGGCAGTTCAATTTCCTATTTTCTAACTAGGTTTATAATCCAAAATTGTTATTTTTTGGATGTTAGTATGTAATATTTTCGATGTCAAATCAAAATGTAATTACTCGATAAGTTTTATATATCACTCGATATGGTTTTATATTACTCAATATCTTTTGGTACATGTGACTTTAATTTTTTTGGTTTTAGGTTATTAGTTCTTATATGATGTTGTGGTTTTTTTGTATTAAATTAAATTCATTTTGGTTTTAGGTTTATTGAAAATGTTTGAGATTTAAACATGTATAGTCACTCACATATTTAATTTAAAATAACTTATATAAACGGAAAAAAACCCTCCGTTTTCCAATAGGGGATCCCCGTTCCCCGTTGGGAATAAGAATGAGGATGTGATTATATTCCTCGGCGGGGATGGGGACAGGGATAGAGATAAGTAATCGGGGACGGGGATGGGGATTGAGGTCCCCGCCCCATTCCCATGCCTATTGGGGATTTAGGATTCTTGTCGGTACTATGTTCTTAAGTCAGCCACCTTTATAGGATTGTCGTATACTTGATTTATTTCTCATATGATACTTTTTCGGGGGGGCTAATTTGAGGGGTTTTAGTTACAAACCCATATTGCACAAGAAAAGGATGCTCGTGATACGTTATAACACAGTGGTGTATGTTATAGGAAATAAGATCTTTATTCTGTCTATTAAAACCCGACACTAGAAGATCACATAGATGTCCTAAACAAGATGTATCTTGTATATCTTAAACCAATTCCAACATAGATACCCATTATGATCATTCGTGAAACAAGGTTAATTAAGGTTCAAAAGAGACCATAAGCAAACTCGAGTTAGGATTGTGTTTACGAGCAAAACCATCAACTAGAAAAGGGACGGGAAAAAAACCTCTGTCCCTGCATGTATTACCAACAAGACATCACAAAAATATTTTCAAGGATAACACAGTTGAATCTCATAAGAATCTTTTGTTGTTAACCTGAATCTTTCTTAAATGACCATGATAAATTTGAGATAAGAATTAAGAATCTTGTAACGGAAACATGAGAAAATCAATAAAGTGTGATTCATTGTATTGACGGAAATCCTTTTTACCATTTGCAAAGCTCGTCTAATTATATGAAGAACTTGTGTTTACCAAATTATAATAAATAAAGAATTAAAGGTCTATATAAGTGTTATAATTAGGGGTGCTCAAAAACCAGACCAACCCGATCAACTCAACCCAACCCAAAATCTATTTTACCAATGTTTTGTAGACATTAATTGACATTCAAAGATCTTGAACTTTCATGAATACGTTTGGTATCCATTTTGAACTAGAGATGCACAAAAGAACCAGGGCTTATTGAGCCTAAAGCCCGGCTCAGGTCAGGCCTCAAAACCCAATCAAGTCGAATTTTTTAGGGCATGGCCAACTTGAAAAAGTCTGGAAAAATTTGATTAAGCCCAAAAACAAAAATATTGGTCTTATAAAATGTAAAATGCGTGGGCCATTTTTTTGTTCAATGAGAAATGGGTTTGGAAGGCCTGGGCCTTGTGCATCTCTAATTTTAACTAATGTAAACCACATATAAAATCTTTAATTTTAGTTTTTTTTTATTAATCTGGATATCCAACCCGTTATGCGAGCCGACTAATCCTAGGCCGACCATCTACTTTGCAAATAACTTGGAGTCACCGCATTTGGACCTCCGTGGCCACAAATGGATTTTTCTTCCTCCTTGGATTTGAACATAGGACCTCCTGGTACTTTTGACCTTTGGAGCCAAGCTCAAACCAATCAGTCACCACCCTTGTGGTTAATTTTAGTTTTCTTGTCTATTTTTTTTAAATGGAAAAGATGTTGATATTATTTAATCGGTTAACATGCTGTAACGTTGCAAAACTGTCATACGCATGATAAATGAGTTTTCAACTGAAAGTGACATTGGTTGATTACCGCGTTGACATTTTCCGTGTAATACAATTTTACAATATGACTTTAGTTATGATTTATCAAGTGTTTTTTTGATAAAAATAATCGATGGATTTGATCAATAATTATCTTGTATTTGAACATGTCTATGGCTCACTGTTACTTAGTTTTATGGAAATCTAAAAGTAATAATAAATTACATATATTAAGTAATTACTCGTAAACTTGAAATTTAGTTGATCAGGTATTACTAAAGAGTACGTAATGCTTAATAACTTTGTCGTATTTTATAATTAAAAGTAAATACGTAATTTCATTATAGTTTTAGGGGTCGTTTATCAAACACTTACTCGGCTAAGCGATTACCAAGTTATATTACCTTACTAGATGCTTATAGTAAGAACCAAGAATCTTATCAGGTAAGAACGAATGCAAGGACGAGAGTCTTACCCGGTAAGTGACGGTCGTTATCTCTTACCACAGTTAGCGTTCACCGGGTAAATTGTTGTATACAATACCGTTTTTGTGGACTAAAATCTTACTCGTAGGTAAGTGGTAGTATTAAATTTTACCCGTAAGCACTTACCCGGGTAAGCATGTGGTAGACGGCCCCTCAGTGATGAATTGTATTTTGGATAGATATAATATTAATAATAGATTTTTTTCAGGAACTATCATATATTTGAATATGTTTATAAAATAGTTATTTAGTTTTAGGGATTGTTTTTTAAGATGAAGACAATGAAGGAGTTGCTCAATAATAATCAGTTGATTGTTAGTTGTTTTTATGATGTACTAAACGACGAAATTTTCACCTCTGCACCTTTCCGACCGTTACAAGTTGAAACTTTTGGCACGTTCGAAGATCTACTGGAACGAAAGAATCTGTGTTTTAAAGAACAGATCAAGCTTCAATCATTTTGATGCTTTCATATTAAATTAAGAGTGATCCATATTCGCATTTTAAAGATGACTTTTAGAACGTATTTATATGTTGATTATTAACTAGGTTTATATATAAATACGAGAAGGGTACTCGCGTAATGCAGTGAGATATATCTCGATTTTAATGTTTCGTTTTATTTTTTTGGTCTCTGCCAATATTATAATATGGATTTATGTGGTTTTGAGTAAAAAAAAAATTAAAGTTTTCATTAGAAATATAAATGTAAAGATATTGTAAAAATTAAAAAATATATATAAAAATTCTTATTTTTTTGTGTAATTTTCTTTGACTCAGTTTTCTTATTATAATTTAATTTAAGTTTAATGCCGAAATAATTGTTTTTGGTTTAATAATATAATTTTTATAAATATAATAACTAACTATTCTCTTATAATTTAATAATTATCCTAATTATATTTTAGATATATTTAATATGAGATTTTTATCATGTATTTGATTATATTTATCTACAGTTAGTTACACGAATTCAAATGTAGAGCTTAATAAGTTGTACGTATGCAAGATTTACTTGTAATCTTGAATTTTAAATAATATACATCAATATTTATGTATAAAAAATGGTTTTTAAAAATTTTTGTCAAATATTTTATAATATAACTAGAAAGGTACTCGCGCAATGCAGCGAGATACATCTTGATTTTAATATTTCATTTTATTATTTATCTTAATCAATGTTATAATATGGTCTTATATGATTTTGAGAAATCAATGATGTTTTTATTTTTTTTTAATAAAATATAAGTTTGAAGGCATCATAAAAATATAACAAAAATATATCGATATTAATATCAAATTAACTACTTAAAATTCATAATTTTTTTGTGTAATTTTGTAATTCAATTTTTTTTATAATTTACTTTAGGTACAATAACGAAGTAATTTATATTTGGTTTAATAATATAATTTTTTTATAAAAATAATAATTATTTATTTTGTTAAAACTCGATAATTATTCTAATTATTTTTTAACTTTTTTATATTTTAAAATGAGATGTTTATTCTCTATTTGATTATGTTTATCTGCAGTTAGTTATACGAATTCAAACATCAAGATTTAATAATTATGCATAATTTACTTGTACTCTTGAATTTTAAGTAATATGCATCAATATATAGTATTTTATGCATAACAAAAATATATCGATATTCATATCAAATTAACTATTTAAAATTCCTCATTTTTTGTGTAATTTTTTAATTCAATTTTTTATTATAATTTAATTTAGATACAATAACGAAGTAATATATATTTGATTTAATAATATAATTTTCTTATAAATATAATAATTAATTATTTTGTTAGAACTCGATAATTATCTTAATTATATTTTAAATTTTTAATATTTTAAAATAAGATTTTTATCCTCTATTTGATTATGTTTATCCATAATTACTTATACAAATTCAAACATCGAGCTTTAATAAGTTGTACTTTTACATAATTTACTTATAATCTTGAATTTCAAGTAAATATTGGTTTTATGTGGTTTTGAGAAAATGATAATGTTTTTATTTTTGAATAAAATATAAATTTAAAAATATCATAAAATTTTGAAGAAAAAAACACATCGATATTAATATTAAATTAATCTTTTTTGGTGTAATTTCTTTAATTAAATTTTTTAATTATAATTTAATTTGGGTTTAGTAATAAAGAAATTTAATAATATAATTTTTTATAAAAATAATAATTAAGTATTTTGTTAGTTATCAATGATTATTTTAATTATATTTTAAAAATTTTATATTTAAAATAAGATGTTTATCCAATCAAATTACGAATCTTTATCTTTAATTGATTTTATGTATTTTGTAATATTGATCATAATCTTTGAAGATAAATATGGATCTTTTTTCTCGACAGCTAAACACTCCAAACTCAAACCAGCCGTCTTGAGTGGATAACACGCACCAATCAGATTAGAAGGCGGTGCCGCCATAACCACTCCTAGAAAGCGCGTGTAATACACGTGAGAGTGAGAGAATCTCTTCTATTTTGATTGGTCCACGTAATATACTTGCACAGCAAAATTGAGCTGCCAATCATGGATCAGTTTCTCGAATTCCCAATTTGTCTTTTTTTTAGGGTAATCATTCATTCAATTCTCTGTACAACAATTGAGGAGTCAAAATCGATTTTGACCGTCAAAGAGAGAGCGAGAGAGAGACTGATCTTTTGGTTCAATAGATCTCTGTCTCTTCTGGTCTCTCAATCGCCATGGGTTTATGGGAAGCTTTTCTCAATTGGCTTCGAAGGTAATCGTGTTTTTTCTCGATTAATTTTTGTTTGAATTTCAATGTGCACCTTTCTATCGTTTTTCTATGTGATTTTATCTTCCAATCGAGGGATCTGATTCGTGTTTCTTGTAGGAATGTGGGGTTTATTGTTTAATTGTATGCATGGCTGTGAATTTTTGTTGATGATTTGGACGTTTTTGGGTTTTATCTGATGAATGAATGTTGAGATAAGGTTAGCCTGCCACTCATTTAGCTGTAAGATTAAAGGGAAATTTTGAGGTTCGAAAAAGATGATGCATACGATTACAATCTAATAGAATACTATACTGTATGTGAAAGTAAATCCCAAGAACAAATACAAAAATACATCTTATTACTTTTACGATAACATTAAATCAGATGTGAATACTTAAAGCCTTGTTAGGGAACAGTAAAAAACCCTGTTCTTTACATTGATATAGGTGTATTTGGGCATAAACAACAATTCTAATAATCATATAACACTTTTTGTTATGGAAACAACTTCTATTCAGAACTGTCAAACACATTCTCAGGGAGTCTTGAACCCAGAATTATTGTTCACGAAACTCAGATAGTACCAGTTTTGGCCAAAGGCCATTGGTGTAACGGAGAGAACTTTTAACTTACATATACGATATCCAGGTAAACGTTGGCATTCATAAACCAAACAAAACCAAAATATCTTGTTTGAAAGTAGGGTTTGGAAGGATGGGATGTACACAGTCTTGACCTCTACCCCAAAGGGTAAAGCGATTATTTCCCTAAAGACCCCCGGCTTGTGCTAAAGTAAGGGAGAAATGGGAACGACACATATTAAGTAAGAGTAGCATTCTTAGTGATGGCAAATACCAGGCAAGCATAATGCTGTTAGAGACCTAACGTCATCTAACTTCTTTTGTTATCTTCTTATTTGTGCTTATGATATTCTTGTTTATCTCCAAGTGTTGCAAGTATCTGATAATCCAGCTTTTTCTAACTGCTTGGAAGTAGCACTTAAAAACAGATGGACGTGGAAGAAGTTTGGTTAATTACGCCTACAATTCCTACATTCCCAAAACTTACCTCAAGAAAGGGTCAAGTCTCTTTGATGTAGGTTGCTAAAAGGAATAAGGTTTATGGGGATTTACAGGAAAGGAACACTAGGATCTCTTGATGATCGCACCCATGATAACTAAAGATGTCTCACCTAAGGTTGCTTAACATAACCAAAGAGAAAGACCTTTCTTCTTGTCATTCAGTCATGCCTATTAATCATATTGGGATTAAATCTCTTTTTATGATATCGATGGAACTTTAGACTAACAATTACATAGCTACAAGTTATCCTAATGAAAAAGCTGTTAGTCTGTTAATCATTTCATGATAATGGGAAGAAATGAAAAGATTGTTACTAACAAATAATTAGCAGATACATGTTAACAATTATACCAGTAATTATCTTAGTATGCATTTTAACTTAACTTCATCTTGCTCCAAGATAGAGCATGTCTGCCTGGAATTTTGATTTGATGGAGAATTAGGAAGAACCGGCTGTGCCACAATCCTCTTACAGCCATATATGTTTTGCATCTTGAAGTTATTTCTGCATAGAGTAGAGACTAAAGCATTAATCTGTTATTGATATATGCTTCAAGTAAATCATGTAGAATTGCAAATATCAATATGCTCAATGTCCTTAAAGAAAAATCAATAACTTATTCTCTTCCTATACATTCTCATGTTTGGCTTCTACAAGAACTTCATGATAATCTCATGATTGGCAAGTTTAATAATAATGATATGACAATGTGATCCGTTTGTCTTTGACTTTTCGATATTGTTCTAAATGTTGGACCCAAGATAACCAAAGGCATCTGGCAAGCGTAACTAATTATGTAATGTCATGGGTTGCTTAGGGTGATTGTTTCACATAATCAGAGAAAAAACTCCAATCTATTTTCTTCACCCATCTAATAGATATTCTAAAGACAATCAAAATATTGTTAAGATGTTATGTAACAATAACTATAAAAGCCAAATAAAATCATGTTCTACCCACTAATTGTCCTAATCTTGCAATCTTCATCTTCTTCTACACTTCTAGACGATATCTTCCTTTGCTACATCGTCATTGATCACACTTTGAATTTTAAGTGTGGAGGTTCAAGCTTGTATCTTCCTCCACCATTTGGTTGCAACATGCCAACATCCCTCTTGGTTCGGTTGGAAACAAGAATTATCCTCTTTTCCCACATGAAGGTAGAAGAGTTTTCCTCTATGTTTTGTTTATCATGATGGTGAGACATCCTTGACTCTCCAAGTTAGACATGGATTACCTTCATTCCCACAACATGACAACAAATATATTATTCTTATCAATAAATGTGATTGACTAGACATAGTGATGTGTAACCGTTATTTGATGTGTCATTTAACCAAGGGATGGTGCAAGGACATGGAAAGGCTGAATTATGAGGTTTAAACCTTGCAAGACCTTGATTACATCAAACATGGTATATAAGTTAGAAAAAGTTCTCAAGTCATTTAGTTTAAGAAGTTTAGGAACTAACTTATCAATGCTCATCTAAATTGTCGAGAAACTACTGAACATATTAATTTTTTTTAAAATATGGAACATGCCCATATATTTCATAGAATATAGAACCACCTCTGAACTTTTCAAAATTTTAGATTAGGTACTAAATCATCAAAAATTGATCTCAAGGGCATATCAACTTCAGGATTTCTATAAATTACACACCAGCCACTGGACATGCAGAATTACAACTCCTCGACCCAACTTGTAGTGATAATGGCTAGATTTTGGCGATGTTTTCGATGGCTTTTTTCAACTAACTATGTTTTGATACCAATGTGTGAGGAAAGATCTCGAAAACAAAAGCAACCATGTTTCTAGAACTTCACACTAAAGAAAGAGTAGGAACATCATAAGCATCACTCTGCAAGATAATTTAAAAATCAAGCAAAACCAAATAATGCCTTAAAAGAACTCGTGCCATAACGCGCCTTAAGATGCTCTGGCTTGCACCTTGCCTTACACAGCCACTGCAGGACTTAACGTGGCATAGAACATGTGTCCTATGCCATACACAGCTTTTGAACCTTGGTCTTAAGCAAGAAAACCCATGTTGCACACGAGAGATATCATCAACAAACATAATAAAGTATTTAAAACCTCTAGTAGAAATAATAAGATAAGACCCCATACATTCGAGTGAATTAACTGAAATAAGGTGTTTAATCTACTAGATTCTCTAAGGGGATAGGACGACGGGTGTGCTTACCCAATTTGCATGTCCCCTGAATAGACGACCCTTAGCTATTTCAAAACATGTAAAAAGTAGTGGCCTAGTCGACAATGAGGCTCTCTGATACTGGAATCACATTGATATGTTGTTGAAGATTATGAAACTAGCAAGCGATTGAGACCCTGGGACTCGAAATTTGTGTCAATGAAATGTCTCTTTCCCGATTCTTGAAAGAGATAATGTATGAGCAGAAAAGTTATGCAAGAATTATGATTTTTGGTAATTTGGATAATAGATGTTAAACTATTTCGAAAAGTAGGAATATAAAGAACATATGATAAGCTTAGGTTTGACAGGTTGCTAGTGGATTCTATTCTCATAATTTGACAAGCAAATTCCCTAGCAAGATATCGGAATTAAGATTGGATGTAATATCTTTGTTCTTGATGATATGATTTGGGGTTCCCGAATCTATAATCTAGGATGATGAACATGTAAAAAAACATGTAGATATTATACCAGATTGGGCTATACTAACACAATGAGTAAATGGGACCTTGCTAGAAGTACCATGCTTGAGTCGAGGGACATCTTTCTTGTTGAAGTAAAGAGTTGTCGTAACATTGTGAGCAAATGTTTTTTGGGCCTTGGGCAGTTGAGATTCGGGGCCAAAACTAAGATGGTTTGTTAGTTAAATTTGGTATGCCGATATTCTTACAATAAAAGCATTGGATCTTCTTTTAATACCTTTTTGTTCCTATATTTTTCTGGCATAAGAAGTTGCAAATCGCTGATATGTCGTATCCAAATGACTATGATGGAGAGTTAATTGACTGCACTTCTTGAACAAGATTGATATGTGGATGTCAAAGACTAAGAGGCCGAATGACTACGCATAATATCAGTTTAGACAATCACCAACGATGTCTTATATTGTGAAGAGATTACATGAATATATACACAATTTGGGACCTACCTTAGAAAACTAAACTATTTGAAAACTAGAAAGTGAAACCCTAAGTAATCCCTTTTTAGGTAATAGTGTACAATATCTAACATCTTTACTTACACATATGTTGTATGCTTAACTCATTCTATTGCTCATTGATCTAACATTTTGCTCATCTTGTTCTAAATTCAGTTTATAAACTTGGGTTATGGAAGGGGTCTTTCAGTTAAATGACCTTATGCCAGTTTTTTTAACGCATGACCTTCTAACAAGTTTGAGAATCCCATTGCTTAACAAAAGAATGTCACTTCCTTACACAAGAAAACCTGTTAGAAGGTCATGGATGTAAAAAGCACTTGCTAGGAGGTCATTTAGCTAAAATAACCAGTGGTTTATGTTTATTAGCTCTTATTGGTCGATTATGTGTTGTCAATTTCTAATGTATATTCAAATGAGCATATTGTTTTTCTGCAACATGAACTTATCTTGTTATCATATGTTACAGCCTCTTTTTCAAGCAGGAAATGGAGCTTTCTTTGATTGGGCTCCAGAATGCTGGGAAAACCTCACTTGTTAATGTTGTTGCTGTAAGTAAAACAAACTTTTTTTTCCATGTTTGTATAGATTATGTTAGGGAAATTGTCCAAAATAACCATTTTTGAACCCCTAATTCACTTCACAGCTACTTTTCTACATAATTGACCGAAAATACTAAGATTTTGCAAGTAGACACTCCTTGGGGGTGGGTCTTTTTAAGTTGAAAAATGCTCCCTCCCGGTGCGGGGACTCCATCTAGCAACTTGCGAAATCCACTTTTTATGAATATAATATTTATAAAAGTAGTAATTTTGCAAGCTGCTAAAGTGCTACTTGTCACATCAACATTTTACAAGTAACAATATGCTGAAGTGTGACTTTATGATTATTAAATTCATAAAAAGTAGATTTTGCAAGTTGCTAAAGTGTTACTTGCGAAATCTTGGCTATTTCGGTCGATTGAGTAGAAAAACGGCTATAAAATGAATTGGGGAATCCAGAATGGCTATTTATGACATTTTCTCATTGTACTAATATTAGTTTGAGTGAAAAGTCATGATCTTGTGTGCTGAAACTGCCTTTGTTCTCTTTTGCTTTGCTTGTAGACTGGTGGATATAGTGAAGATATGATCCCTACAGTGAGTTTTTTTCTAACCTTCATTCTACTCATGCCTGCAAATTAATCTAAACTACTCATCCCAGTGTTTAAAAACTTGTAACATCTTACAAATGCTCCAATTTTCAGGTGGGATTTAATATGCGCAAAGTAACGAAAGGAAACGTAACAATAAAACTATGGGATCTTGGAGGTCAACCCCGATTTCGCAGTATGTGGGAGAGATATTGTCGTGCAGTTTCTGCCATCGTGTATGCTGCTATTCTCCATTTTCTACATTCACAAAACACCACTTTCTAGCATTACAACAAACTCAGCTTTACAGAATGCCAAATATTTAACATCCTAATATATTGCTTTATAAAACTTAAGTTTACAGGGCCAAATAATTGCACGTCTAATGTAAAAGTGTTACAATAGGAATTTTGAGACGTATTTGGGCATCTTCACAAGTTTTTTAGAACATTTATTTTATAAAATGTTCTATTAGGTTTTTTACACAACACTTTTGAGAAGTGTCATATGAACACATATTTTTACACAGTACTTTTTCAAATAATGTCATATAAAAAGACCAATATGACACTTTATTTAAAAAAATGTCTTAAGAAACATCATATCAAATTATTATAACACCTTTACATTAAACGCACAATTGTTTGGTCTCATAAACTTAAGACCTATAAAGCAATCTATTAGGACATTTGAACATATCTGGCATCCCATAAAGACGAAATTATTTTAGTGTAGGAAGCTTTTTGTTTTGCTTATGCTGATGTTACCACCATAAACCGAGTAACCAGAAGATAGAACAATCGGGTTGCTTAACAATAAAATGGTTATTCTCTAATCCGACTTAAAAGCCATTTAATTTTGAACAGATTTGCTTCGTCTGAAGGATGATGTTCTTTGAAGTAATTTAAACTTGTGAATACAATAGTCATTGAACATTAGGTGCTAGTATCATCCAGATCACAATTTCTAGCTCAAGTAAATAGGACCATTAACCATATACTCCCTGCGTTCCAAAATAAATGTCAACTTTCTACGTGCTTACTTTCCATTTCTACCCTTGTTTATGAGATGTAGAAGTTCATTACTTTCTCTAGTATTAAGGGTATAGTTGTCCTTGGTTGATTAGAAAGGTGCAATAATTACATAATTCGAAAACTGTGTCTATTTCATTGTGGAAATTTGTTTTGAGACGTAGGGAGTATTCACTTCGTTTAAGCTCTTGTTGGCCCATAATTTGAAATATTTGTGTGTGTGTGCCAGATATGTTGTCGATGCAGCGGATCAGGATAATCTGAGCATATCAAAGAGCGAACTTCATGATCTTCTAAGCAAGCCAGCACTGAGCGGAATACCGTTGCTTGTTTTGGGCAACAAAATCGACAAAGATGGTGCCCTTTCTAAGCCAGCATTAACCGATCAAATGTAGGAACACCATGTACACATGGGTTATTTAGCTAAATGACTTTCTGATGTTCTTAAATCCATGATCTTCTAACAGATTTTGATGCATTCATTTGTTAGACAAAGAGAATCTGAAATCCTACAGGTCTTGGATTTAAAAAAACTGTCTGAAAGTCATTTAACCAAATAACCCACATACACATTCTTCTTCATGTGTCTCTAAATTCTAATATCTCGATGAATTGATGCAGGGATCTGAAATCGATCACGGATAGAGAAGTTTGCTGCTTTATGATCTCGTGCAAGAACTCAACAAACATTGATTCAGTCATTGATTGGCTCATCAAGCATTCGAAATCCAAAAGTTAAAGAAACCGAGTTTGAAAAGTATTTAAACTTTGTTTATCGTACTTGATGTTGAGTTGGAGTTTGCTAATCTTGATCTGAACAAATGAAATTTTCGAGTATTCGGCTCATCGGCTACTGCTGCCATTTACATGTCTTACTTGAGTGTGATCCAACCTCTGGATGGGATATATTGAGCTCATTTGGTTTACTTGTTGCAGATACTGTATTAATCATTTTGGTTGCATTTTATGTGTTTTGTGCAAAATTTTCATCGGTGAATGTATAGACGTTAGGAGCTTGTGGCATTTATGGGATATGTTTCGTGAATCACTAAACTTTATCATTTGTTAACTGAATTATCAAGCATGTATCGATCAGTATACGATGAAAATTTAATCTTTTGGTCATTGTAACAAGAAATTGTTTGGCTTTGTGTGTTATTGTTTTTTTATTCAACAATTTTTAGTTTTGGAAAAAGGGTTTTCGTTTTGTTGGCAAGTATGTGGGTAAGTGTTTATCAAGTCACATTACCTTGTCGAATTGAATATGGTAAGGGCCAACAATCTTACCGGTAAGAGTGAAACAAGAAGTAAGAGTCTTTACCTAAGTGAGGGCGCAACTCTTACCATGGTAAGCGTTGACTGGGTAAATTGTTGCATACCGTACTGTTTTGTTAGACTAAAATCTTACCCGGTAAGTAAATGATAATATTAAAATTTTACCGATAAGCATTTACACCTTATGTTGAAGCAAATTTATAAAATAGCCATATTTTACGTAAATGGTTTATGCATGAACTACCTTTTCTAGTTAAAAGAGAATTTGGAACTGAATCCTTTTTTTTTTCAAACTTGAAATGATATTTGACATTTACTTCATTTGTTCCAAAATAGATGTTTACAATAAAAAAAAAAAACGTAGTTTTAATGTAATTACTATATATTTTTATTAATTAAATGTCAATTTTAGCCTTAAAAAATTAGGGGTGAACACAAATTGCGTGACCTTGTTGAAGACATTTGAACAATCCAATGCAATATTTGTAGTTTGAAAGATCTCAACTCAACCTAACCAAATCCAAACCATGTAGATTGGGTTGGTTGGTCAGGTTGAAACTTTGGCACACCATAATATTTATGTATATTTATAACTGAACAATTCCAATCTGATACATTCAATTTAAAGATTTTACAACTCAATTAGATATCAAGTGGCTTTAGGAATCGCTATGCACCACTATTATTAATAGAGTGAACAATAAACTTAATCTAATAATTAAGGGTAAATTTGGAAAGTAAAACAGAAATGATTTTCCCTCATCCTTCTTTGATAAGAGGTATATATGTCATTTACTAAAACATTATAAAGTTGATGGTTTCCACCAAGAAAAAATATCGACACTTAATTCTGAAACGAAGGAATATGTTTTTCAAATTAAAAAAAAAATCTGAAGTTTTTATATTTAATTCATAGTATTAAAATAACCCAATTCAACATCGTTTTGAAATTTTGGATTTTAATGCATAAAACATCCCTTGATCAACTATTTTTAATCATGTATTTTAATTAATTAATATTTTAATTAAACTTCAATTATATGGTTTTATTAAACAAAAGAGTGGTGGCTGTTTGAGGTTGGAATTTGGACGGTTTGGATGTTTGTTAGTAATTTTAATGGCACGTGAGGGTGAGGGTGTTCATTGTACACGTGCACAGGGGATTAGCACGTGAGGACTTGGTGGAGGTGTGTGTCAGGTGAGGATCTCAATTTGCCAGCTGCTTGCTTACACGTGCCCTGCCACCTTTCAAGGTTTGTTTAGAATCTGGATATGATCCATCTTTTAAAATAAGTACGTTGAAGTTCTTGTGATTTGCATTTCGTTATGTCCCGGTTAACTCTAATTCATTAACTTATGGGCAACTTGGTCTTTTTTTATCCTTCTTTTGTCTTTTCTATCTATGTATCTTCCCTTGAAATCTCGTCCCCACCTGTGTTTCTGGTGAATCCCGATCATCTTCTTCGGCAACGATCAACGGTCTCCCTCAACGATATCTGAATCACACAAGGGAGCACCAACCCTTTCTTCCCTTTGATCTCTCGTTTATCCCCCTTCAATCTTATGTGAAAGATTTGGGTTTTAGGTTTTATCTGATTTGGACTCTCTTCTGTTGAAATATAATATGTGACAATGAAAATGAAGATTTGCGTTTGGGGTTTGGGGTTTGATTTAGGGTTAAGTTTGATTTATGTTTTTGATTTCAGGGATTTGAAATTTATGGACTAAATGCCACCGGATTTAGAAGTTTGAACCCCATGAAGCAAAAGAATTATCGACAACGACAAAGCTACTAGTATATGCATATAAACAAAATGGCTATATGGTTTTTACTCGTTTAGCCAAATTACAGGGTGTGTATGAGTATTATATGTTTTGTAGGTGCTATTTTTTCTTTTGGGTAAATAGTTGCGACAAATGGGCTTTTTTGTGTGATGTGTATGTGTGTAACTATACACTTCGTGTGTGTCTCTTGTTTGAGTGAGGTCGAAAATGGAGGTCAGATTTGGTTACAGGCGATAGGAAGAGTGGAGGCAGGGGGAGACGAGGTGGGGTGCTCGACCTTGGGGGAACGAGATCACTTTGTAATGTGCTCTGTGTGTAATTATTAATAATTATGTGATTTATAAATAAATATGTTAATATAATATATAATCTCCTTTTAATTATTAAGAAAAAAATAGACAAAAAGGTAAATTGACCAATTTTTACTTGAGTTAACAGATTGAAGTTAACTTCATTGGTGTTAAGTACGTAGCTCATAATGAGATGTAAACCACAAGGACGCTTCAGGGCCGTTTATCAAATGCTTACTTGGGTAAGCGCTTACCAAGTCATATTTCCTTACCGGATGAATATGGTAATGACCAAAATCTTACCTGGTAAGAGCAAAGACACGGACCGAAAGTCTTACCGGGTAAATGATGAAGACGGCTCTTACCACGGTTAACACTTATTAGATAAATTGTTACATACGATGTCGTTTTGGTAGACAAAATCTTACCCGATAAGTAAGGGGATAGAGTTGAATTTTACCGTTAATCACTTACCCGGTAAGTGTTTAGGTAAACGGCCCCTTAGTGTACTTAGTTTGAAAAATAAACTATATCCAGATTCGAAGCAAATCACAGGGACCTTTGTTGTAATTTACTCTAAAGATTTTGTTTTTATTTAGTTTTAATAGGTATTTTATATTAATTTTACAATGGATAAACAAGAAAAACTCTAAGATCCTGTTTGGTTTGAGGAATTGAATGGATTTGAGAGGATTTGGATTTCAAACCCATTTCAATCCCATATTTGGTTTGTTAGATTGTTGGGAGTTGAAATCGTAGGATTTAATTGAAATCCTACAAACATAGAATTTTGAAATCCTTAGGGGGTACTCGGGATTTTACTGGATCTTGTAGGATTGTATGAAATAAGGTTTAAAAAAATATTAACAACATTTGTTTTGTAATAATCAATTAATAAAAATGTAATTTAATTACTTATATATATAATGAAATCCAATTCTATTCCAAATCCTACAACACAGATTGGTCACTTGATAGTGGACTTAAATTCAACACAGATAAGTCGATCACTCTGAAGTGTTAATATTAGATCTTAGACACAGAAAACGATGGATTCGAAATACGGCTTAAGTGATGCACAAAATTTTAAAAAAGTTTTTGATAATCACGTAGAGATACGAGTTTTTTTTATGATTTGTTAAGGTTCAAATTTTGTTCGAGATTTATATCACAAAGAGATTTGGATATAAATATTCATACTAATCGGTGATATTAAGAATCGGGAATAGTGGTGACTTTATGGACACGGTCTATAAAGATTCACTTTCAAGAGATTGGAATCTTAATCGGCGATTTTGTGACAAAGTTTTTGACCATTTTGTTACTACAATTATCTTAACTAAAATTTACACCCGTACCCACTTTTAGTTATTTATTTAGATTTCATTGTTAAAGCATCAAACTCCCTCAAATACGTTTTCTTCTTCTCTAATTGAAATCAGTGTATTCTCAACTTAATACTTGAAACTCTAAAGTCCGATCCTTGTGGATACTCTCTCTCTCTCTCTCTCTCAGTATTTTTCCACTTTATTACTTGAAAGCGAACTCAACAGTGGTGTATACTTGAAGTCACAGTGATTTCTAGAAAGAAAAGAAAAATCCCTTTGTTTTCTAGGGTCGTTTAGAGTAATTATTATTTTTATTACATTTAGAGTGAATTACATCGAAGGTTTTTATGGTTTGCTTAAAATTTAGATATGATCCCTTAAACAAACTACTAATACAAGTGGTTACTTAGGGGCCGTTTACCTAAATGCTTACTCGGTAAGCGCTTACCTTTAGGAGTCAACACTGTAATTTATTTTATCGGGTAAGATTGTAGTACATTAAAATGGTATAGTATGCAACAATTTACCCGGTAAGTGCTTACCCGGGTAAGAATCATCATCCTCACTTACCGAGTAGGACTCTTCATCTTTATTATTGCTCTTACCGGGTAAGATTTTTGACCTTTGTCATGTTCATCCGGTAAGGAAAATTACCCAGTAAGCACTTATAGGGTAAACGTTTAGTAAACGACACCTTAATTTTCATTTTCATAACGCTTAAGATCCCTCGAGTTAATGCCGTTAAATAAGGTCTGTTAAGTTGAGGCATGCATCTTTTAAATGAGTGCAATTTAGTTCTTTTACCTCTTTTTTCTTTTAAAATATAACTTAATACTCAATATTATATATAATAAAATTAGTTAATAACCACAAGGGTGGTGCCTGATTGGTTTGAGTTTGGGCTCCAAAGGTCAAACGTACCAGGAGGTCTCATGTTCAAATCTTAGGAGGAATAAAAATCCCCTTGTGGCCACGGAGGTTCAAATGCGGTGACTCCGGGCTACCCGCAAAGCATGTGGTTGTCTTGGGATTAGTCGACTTGCATAGCGGGTTGGATATCCAGGTTAATCAAAAAAGAAGAAGTTAATATTAGATCTCTCTATCTCTCTTCTCAAACACGGTCGATGCAGGTGAAAACCCTCCCCTCCCTTTCGTTTACCATGATGAAAACACATCGAATAAAAAAGAAGCTCCCTCGTGATCCGCCTGCACCCATAGACGGACCTACTTAGGTGCCATGGGTGGCACGTGCCACCGTATTGTTTCTCCGCCGAAGGGTAAAAAATTTAGGCTTCATAAACGGTGCAACCATATTAATTTGTTGTGTGCCACCGTATGTATTTTGAAACTACAATGAAAACAAATTTTATTTGGTAAAATTGGTTTGTAAGGCTTTTATTCCACCCCACACCCAAGTCCGAATCATGTTAGAGTCATTTTCTTAGTCAAACGATGCCACCGTTTGAAAAAAATTATGTATATTTGTTTCTTATAGTCAAACAGTGTCATCGTTTGAAAAAAAATTCCTATATCTTTTTTCTTATGGTCAAATGGTGTCACCGTTTAAAAAAAATTCTGGGTCCGTCTCTGCCTGCACCTACCTTTGCATACGGCTAGCCGATGTCACCTCCGCCTCCTTCTCCGCAGTGTCGGGGCTAGTCCATGGCAACGATGGCGGTGGCCATGGCCATCAAGGGCAAGAGGTCACAAAAAAATTGGGTAGCAAAAAGTCCTTATTTTTGGACAACAAACCCTAAACTCGAGAAGACAAGACACAATAATGTAGACATAAATTTAAAGTAGTCAGGAATCTACATTAATATTTTTTAACATTCTTTTAATAATATTAATTATTTACTTGATAATTGTGATTTATTTGTGTTATGGAAATGTCTTAAGCCGAAATTTTGAGAAAAAAAAACACATTATTATTTTTGGTAGATAATATGTTTATGTATAACTCGTTGTCAATTTTTTTTTAATTAACTTGGATATCCAACCCGTTATGCGAGCCGATTAATCCCAGTGCAACCACTTGCTTAGCAGATAGCCCAGAGTCACCGCATTTGAACTTCCGTGGCCAAAAGGGGATTTTTTTTCTCCTTGGATTTGAACCTGAAACCTCCTAGACTTTTGACTTTTGGAGTCAAGCTCAAACCAATCAGGCACCACTCTTGTGGTTTATGATCAAAGCCAAATGACAATGACTCGATCAATACGTATTTTTTGTGAATTAAAATTGCAAATGTTAACTATGATAACTGATTGATATTTTTGCTTCAAAAAACATAACCAAACATCGTTTTAGGTTATATACTTTGTGTTTTGTTATTTGAGGTTTTGGTTTATGTTCCACCGGTTGTATCATTTTTGTTATATCTAATAAAAATCAGCGTCGGAAATAGCCGTCTAGCTTGTGTAGTTTCCAAATCCGTTCAAATAATTTATATTTTTATATATCAAGGGCATTTTTTGGCTTTCAACTATGGGCATCCGAAACCTGACGACGGACCCTACTTCTTCAACGGTGCATACACACCTTCTTCTTCGTTGCTACACACCTACCACCGTCACATATATGGGTTTGGTACGTCTGGACCACCACCATCAATTTGATTTAGATTTTAATTTTTTAAGTGATTTAGGGTTGTACGTTTAGATTTAAGGGATTCCGGTTCAAGGTTTGTTCTTGATTTTATTGATGAAAAAGATAAGGATTCATAATGAATCACTTTGAAGAACTTAAAGACAAATGAAGAAGATGAACATTTATCAAATTAAATCTTGACCAAATTGACCCTCACATGAGGGCCATATAGGGTAATTAACGGGCTTTAAGTTAATGGTGTTAACTTGAGGAACCATCACTGTTGGTAGGGGTGCTCAAAAACCCGATGAACCCGACCAACCCAACCCGAATTTAAAAAAAACCAAACCCGAGGCATAATCGATAAAAAAAAATTAGCCAACCCGACCTTATTGGGTTGGAATCGGGTCAGGCCCAAAAAACCCGACCAACCCGACAACCTGATGAACCCGACCTTAACTTTAGCTTTGAATTGTAGATGACAATCATGACATGACCAACCTCAACGTCAAGAAAGCGAAAGCATCGGGGTTAGAAACGTCTAAAACTATTGTTGTTGATTGATGTATTATCATTTGGTTTAAACATTTTTATTGTAATATCTAAATATTTGATGAACTTGCATATTATCTTGAATGGTCGGTCATATTTCAAAGGAAAGTTTCCTTTATTTTTATGTGATTTTACATTGTTTAAACACAACCCGATCAACCCGAACGGGTTGGATTGGGTTGGGTTGAACTTTTGTTTGAGTTGGGTTGGGTTGAAAATTTTCAAACCGTCAACATTGGGTTGGGTTGTTAAAACGGCTCCAAACCGATCAACCCGGGCCGTGAACACCCCTAAGTGTTGGTGTTAATATGTTATGAAAATGAAAAGTTAGAATGTGCGATGTAGATAGTACATTTAAGGAACAATATTCAAAATTTGAGCAAACTACGCGTTCATTTCATCATTATTCACTTTTACATTTATATGAAAAGGAAGTTCAAGAACAAATATAATTTTCATTTGTTATGAAGCGAACACGTAAAGTAAATGAAACATAGATCTTGTTTTTATGTGGCAAATGATGAAACAAACATCATTATGTTTTTTAATGTATTGGTGTCTATAATCAATATTTTAAATTCTAATATTTTTTTTATAAATATTATCTCAACATTAATTGTACCAATAAAAACTATTATTCAACTTTTGAGATAACTTAATTAGTAAAATTTTAATAGGTTCAAATCTAAGAAGGGACAAAAATCCTCTTATGACTACAGAGGTTTAAATACGGTGACTCCGGACTACCTATAAAGCATGTGGTTCATTTGGGATTAGTCGGCTCGTATAGCGGGTTGGATATCCAGGTTAATAAAAAAACAATTATATCTTGAAAAGAGTTCTTATACGAAAAAAATGTAGGTTTTTTTAAAAATTACTATTGAAAAGAGTTCTTATAAAAACCTTACATTTTTTGAGTTCGTATACAAAAATCTTGATTTTTATTTTGAACTTGGTGTGATGTGACATTTTGTTAGTTTTTTTCATGTATTTTCTTGACTTTTACATGGTATATAATTACTAATATGTATATATTTATTTAACTTATGTTATACACAAGACCACAAAAAAGGTTCTTGTAAAAACTTCCATTTTAGAGTTATATGTACATCTTTTTATTTTAGTAAGTTGAAAATGATGTGGCAAGAAAAAGGCACAAAAACTTAGTTCCTATAAGAACCTCCGCTGAAGATGCTCTTCGATTTGTTTCCCAACAGTGACCAGTTTGAGTCCTTTAATAGCCACTTGTCGGTGGATGTTTGTGACTGTAATTTAAGGGTTTGAATCGGTAAGATCTTGGATTCGTTTTCGAGTGATGACTGGTTTGAATCATTTCATACGCACATGTCATTGAAAGTTTGTCTAACCGTTAATTTTGTTATATCAGATAAGACATCCATAGTTATTTAAAAAGTAAATTGTTGTAATAAACAACTTAGGATGATTTTTAAAGAATATGTGGAGAGAGAGAGGGGGGGGGGGATGGGTGTGAAATGGAATTGTGTATTTATTGATTGCAACAGAAAGACAAGAGAGAGAGATGACTCAATTCCCAATTTCAGAAATACTCTTTAAAGCTGGTTTCCATTGTCCTCCACCATGACTTTGATGCTCTTGTCTTTGTCTTCTGCTGCTATGCCTCTGCAACAATATGTCAAAAACTTAGACAATATCTATCACTATCTCTATCACTACCAATTTTTAATTTTTTTTTACATTTTCATTATGTTTTTTGAATTCTTTTGCTATTTCGTGATCTCCAAAATGAAGAATCTGTTGAAGAGCGTCTGTTGTTAAACAGGATTGCAAAAACACGAATTGTTGGTTTGGAAGCTACAATCGACGAGGCACAGGCAAAAACGATAAATATGGAATATGGTTGCAGTTGATTTATTTATTGGTGTTAATGGTCTGTCCCACCAATTTGATTTATGTTTATGAAGTTAAGGTTTTGGGGAGGGTATTAAACCAGATAATTGACACAGGCAGCCATAATTAGCTTAACTTTTTAGATATAGCAAATTACTTTAATCATGGGGATCTAGTTCTACTTATTAGGTTTAAAGACAATTACAGCAAAATTATGCCATGACAGCAAGAACAAGCACATGGTTTTACATCCATAACTACTACACACTAGCATGCCTTAATCAGCAGAAACTAGAAAAAGGGGATTTATAAATCTGGTTATTAATTTATAACTGCTCACCCAAGCACTAGATTTTTTTAATATCGAGAATGCACATTAAAGTAGAAACTAGGAAAACTGTGAAATTGGTGACGACATGCTTACAATTTATCTACATATAAACTAGAAATAACGAAGGTCTTGCTTGCAAACCCCCAAAGTTAGATTGATGAATATTAAAAAAAAATATATATATATATATATATATATATTTATATATATATACATATCATTTTGAAGTTAAATCATGCGTTCAAAATGTAAAAAAAGTGGTCTGATTTTGATGAGTATGAAAAGAAAATTTGTAGAATATAACCATCAAGATCTAGTAATGTTATATGCATCATTTTTATGTCACAATCAAGTTACAATCATGCATTGGAAATGTAAAAAGTAAGTCTTGATATTGATATGTGTGAAAAGAAGATTAATAGAGGTGCATTTAGATTACCCCTTAACAAATAGAAAAAAAATGATTTCTTTTGCATCTCAAACATCTATGTTAAAATGGTGATTTTAGAGATTTTACATTCCGACATCTATGTTGTAATGTATGTTAAAATCAAAGTTTTAATTGGCCTGAAGCGTGGCCTAGCGACGAGATCAAGCCTTAGGGTTTAGGAGCCACACGTTTTTCAAGACGTGTTTATGACGACAAATCTTTATATTATATATAATATTAATCATAGAAACATATATTTTATATCGTCACTTATTATGTCAATTGTATCAAATAATTTAAATTAAGTTATATATTATAAACTAACAAATAAGACATTAAAAAAGTAAGAAAAATCAATTATTGCACTATAAAAACCGTGCATTAGGCCATGACATGCCACAGACATAATGTGACTTGAGACACAAGTCTTAAGCCACAACGGCTGTTGCAACAAGCTTTTTAAAATACTGGTTAAAATAGAGAAACAAATATAAAGATCTAAATTTTGATAAATCCCTAAAACTCAATATCTAATTTTTTTTTTCTCATCAACAAAAAATTTAAATGTTTAAAAGAGAAATGTAATATTTTATTAGACATATTGAATATTTTAATAACATAATTAAAGTGGAATCTCCAAAATAAAAGATATGTTGATGGGTGTAATTTGTTTTTATGGATTAAAATTTGATACTATATTTTAAAAGGAGATGCTCTGAATGTTTCAAATATTTTGACATGTCTTATTTCAATTTCATCAATACACATCAATTTTTTTAAGTATATATAATTTGTTTATATTCTTTATCTGATTATAACATCAAATTTTATACTTGAAACTTAACAGGGAAATATTGGGAAGATAAAAAAATCCGAACATTTACAGCAAAAACATTGTAAAAGTTATTTTCACAGTATTTTAATGTAAAGTTTCAAGTATAAAAAGACGGTCACTCAGATCTCATAAAATCAAGTTGATCTTACATGACTACAAGTTTAACAATAGTCGCTAAAAGTTTTGGAGACGAGATTTTTACCCGATCCAAAAGATCGGTTGGCCCATCGAGTAATCAAAAGGACGTGGACCACACAGATACGAATGTCACGAATCTCAAAATTAAAATATGGCCCCGCATGTAACAAATCGCAATTTCCATCATCAAACTTTGCAATGTGAATGAGTAAATGACGTGAGATTTGGTTACCTTGACGGAACTGGTATTTGGTACAGCTACCGGCACCGGAGCATCGACTACGGCTTTCTTCTTCCCTAGCTCAATCACTCCTCTTTCCATCAATAATTTCCCGAGTTTCATGCACTTCTTCGCAGCAAATTCTTTCAATACATCTAAAAGTAAAGTAAGTTAATCAAGGATCTAAGGCTGTTTGTTAAACAAGAGGTATATAGAGTAGTTGGATGGTCACCTTCATAGGTGATGAGTCGGTAAACTTGGCCAATAAGCAAAGTATCGTCTGGCCGGAGAAGCTTGAGTTGCTTCACAGGCAATCCGTTGTCCGACCTAACTACAGGCGATCTAAGGACTTGTGCGACGTAATGACCGGGATTCGAATTCATGACGTCACGAGCATTAACCGACCAGTGAATCCGTTCGACTTTGTATCCTGGATGCACAATTACAACGGTTGCGGCCTCCGCAGCTTGACAATTCCCCATCTGTAACAATTGTTATCAAACAAATACCAGATCCGATTACTCAGGAGTTTAATTCAAAACCTGCTCGTTGATCAGAAATCTAAATAACCTTTCGTATTCTAGCGAAAGGAACTTCAGCATATAAATTAGGGACGTACCTGCAAAATTGCTGAAAAGATGTCCGTACAAAGGTACAGAGCCAATAAATGGAGTGGATGAGAGACGTAGACTGACGAAATCTTCACGTTGATCGATATGAAGATTCCATTGCTGATGTGATTAACGAAAAAATAAAGAGAGATATTATATACCTGGCTGGCTAGCTAGCTATGGCTATGGCTACGGCAATGGCAATGGCGGTCAACTAGTTGAAATTCGGGAAAGCAAATTCGTACGACTCTATGATCATCTTCATACATGTCTTGTTCATACTCTGCATCTTTTTGTGGGTTGCATCAATGGAGTCTATGGTGGTGGATGGAGCTGTTAATGCTCGACGGGAATGGAGATGGTTTACGGAGGGAGGGTTATTAATGGTGATACCATAAGATAGGAGTATTGAATCGGGTTTGGGCCGGTACGGAATGGACCGGGTCTGGTTCAGCCCACAATGATGTTGCCCAAAATCGAAATGAAGTCTTTTACCTGGCCCATATTCTAAGTCTTCTGAAATCGATTGTTTATCCATTTGACCCGAGATAAATTAATCGGGCCAAGTTGAAAAACCCGTGAATTCACATAATTTATTTTCATTTATTAATATTTTTCAACTAAAAATAAAATCATTTCGAACATTTGTAAAATGTTGGCAATTTATAAAAAATAAAATTTATAATTGAAAAAACGTTTTTACCATTTATGCATGAATAATTGCCACAACATTTTATGATAAGTGTTTATCGATAAAAGTAATCACTCTTACTTGTCTTATTGTGTAACATTTTTTGTCATCAAAATGGATTGTTGGTAAGTATTTTAAACCGGACAAGAGCTTTTTCTCTCGCTTACTGAGTAAGATTTTTGGTGTTTGATATGCCTCTTACCGGTTAAGATTCTCGGTCATTTCCATCCATGTTCAATCGATAAAACAAGTGATTTTAGTAAGCATTTATCTGGTAAGTGTTTAATAAACGTCCTTAAAGTAGGACCAAACAAGTGGGTTAATTACTTTATTCTGCTACTGCTCCTATATGGTCTGATCTTACCGGTCTGTACAATTCAGATATGTTATGTGACTTTCTAATTAGATATCATACAACATAACAACATCTAAATTTTCAAAAATGATAAAAAGTAGGGTTTTCATACTGCCACCAAGTTCAGGTACGAAAGTCGAAATTAACAATATTTAATAAGGGTTGGGTTGAGTGAGAAAGAGAGTTAAGGTGAGAAACATAACAAGTGATCTGCACCCTTAGATGATATTACGATGAGATGCACCGAGATGCATCGGATTAATTCCTGTATCAAGCGCGATTTATGGGTGAGTTTGAGATTAAAGGTGATCAAAGGTCCAGATCTCTTCTTACGCTTCTCACCTCAACTCTCCTCACACGATCATTCACTTATTTAATAAATAATTAGTTTCTCGTTGGTTCCAAAATCAATACTTTCTCAGTAAAAATTTAATTTATTTTAACTCGATAAATATCAAACATCATACATTTTTAATACAAATGTATCAAATTTAATCATAACGTTAGGAGTAATCAACTGTAAACAAGAAATATGTATATATTATCCAAATAATTAACAGAAAATTCAAAATTTTCTGTACAAATCTATGATATGAACATATAAAGAACAATAACAATTAATTGAACCAAAGGGTCTTTGGCCTAGCGGTATCGTAGTCTTTGCCCTCCTATGAGGTCAGGGGTTCAAGTCTCACCAAATGTGAGGAGGGTGTGTAAGTTTATTTGTTGCATTTGCCGTATATACTTCAAAAAAAAAAAACAATTAATCGAATTTACAGATTTTCTTTGTAAAACCAAAATAGATTGAGGATTGTACGATAGCAGTATCCTAAGACAAAAATTTGTCAATGGTATTGACGTTAATACAACAATTGAATTCAAGTTCGAGTCAAACGATGTTTTGGTAATGAAATTGAGCGGAAAAGTGAAAGAAACCCACATAGAAATCGTATGCTTCCCCCTAGAAAATGATAAACATATTTATTTATACGTGTACAATGCTCGAGTTCTTAAATAAACATATTTATTTGTTGTAGCATGAGTCGTACTTGAGATTGATTCATGTGACGCGTACACTACTATATTCATGGTTATAAATTACTTGTTATGGCGTCGAGGCTTGACTTCACCGTCATGTGGCTTCACTCTAATGCTTGACTTTCCTTGTAACGCGTTAAGGCATGCTATAGCACGCTACGACGCATTTTCTTTGTGCGACATGAGTTTGTTTTTACCTTTTAAACATATAACTTAAGGGATGAATGATAATTATGTACCATAAGTAAGACTTAAATAAACATTAAAAGGAAACATAAAAACTAAAACTCTCAATAGGTAAATTCGTACACGAAGGTTCGAACATGAATTATTCTTATTAGCTTGATATATTTAATATAAATGGTTGCGTTTTTCCTTTTTTTACCCCATTTTTACCATTAACAAGAACTTCCTCAAGTCTTGTGTCTGATGTCATGTTAAGCCTGTGGCACATTATGGCTTAGTGCGTGGTTTTCGTAACAAAATATTTGATTCTTCTTACCTTTTTAATATATAATCTAATTTAAACTGTTTAATATCGTTAACTCATTGAGTAAATAATAGAAAACATATGTTTATATGACGTCATTTATGATTTGGAGATTTGTCGTCATAAATCACGCTTTGAAAGCCGTTGCCTCGTTGTGGTTCCTAAAGCTTGAAACTTGGCCTTTCCACCACCCATGTCTCGCACCATTTAGAATTTTAGAGATAACAGATATTTTAAGAAAACGTTTTAAACTTCGTTAGCGTTATTTTATCCAATTTCTTGGATTCGTCAATTACGTAGCATATACAAATATCAATGATAAGAGGTCTATATGAGATTTAAAACCATGTAATGTAATTCAGCAAAAAACACCGAGGTTAATCAAAATACTAAAGACGTGAGTCTTTATAATGAAATGTTTTGAATAATTAAGTGCTTGAATATTTTTTACAAATAAATAAATCATCGAACTTTTAAAAATTGGTTACCTACATCATTGCAACCTAAAAACTCTATTTGTAACCTATTACGAAGGTTTTAACATAAATAAAAATGGTAGTTTGTATTCCATGCCACCCCCGCTGCCCAACGGTAGTTTGTATTTCATGCCACCCATCACTGTCCTCGGACTATATCATCGATCTCCCCCTTTTTGATATGTTTTTTTTTTCTTTTTGTATTTTGATTTCTCCATTTTTTACAATAATTTAATGGAACACGGACAGATGGGTCAAAAAGAAAAGATCAAAAAGAGATTGATGGCATGGGACAACGTCAATGATGGGGTGGTGATTGAGAGGACAACAGTGAGATGGCGAGGGGTTCGAATGACGTTGGGTTTGAAAACAGTAAAACTGCTTTAGTTTTTCACTTAAAAACCTTTCTAGCCGATTACAAATAAGAGTTTTGTAAGTTAAAAGATGATCATTCAAAATAAAAAAAAAATTCAATAATTTTTATTTAATAAAAAATTTAATCACTTAAAATAAAAAATTGGTTTAATAATCATAGGAAACTAAATTATATATTTCTTAAAAGAGAAGTGCTATTACTTCTAGAAACCCTTCAAATAGCATTTAAACATCACATGATATTATTATAAAAGAATCTAAAAAAAGGATTTTATCATTTTCTTTCTTTAAAAGCATTCTCATGTTACACGTGAATCGTGATTTTGCTTGCTAAATAATTTATTTTCCAAAATTGACATTCACAATTATATTATAACTATTTTGGTTTTAAGAGTTGAAAGTAAGGTATTTTTTTTTATTAACCTGGATATCTAATCTGTTATGTGAGCCGACTAATTCTAGGTTGATCACCGTAAAGTCACCATATTTGAACCTTCATGGCCACAATGAGATTTTTTTTTTCTCCATGGATTTGACCCTGAAACTTCCAAACACTTGTGACCTTTGAAACTCAAACTCAAACCAATTAGGCACCACTCATGTGTTTGAAAGTGGGTATCTTTTTACGAAGGTATGCAGGTTTGGTTATAATTTGTATTTTTATTATAAATTGGGAAATCAACGAGAATGCATTTACACGTTTGGGATATTGATCATAAATGTTATAAAAAATATTCATATGAACATAGAATTTGCGATGCTCTTGATGATTTTTTGATTTTTAATAAAAATGTGGTTCTCAACAGCACTCTCCTCTGTCACAGTGTTACAAAATATAATTTTTTATAATACTAAATTTATTATCATTTGATTATTAACAAAAATTTAAATTGTCTTTGCTTATTATTGGTGTTTGAGTATTGATGTTAGCTTTACTTCACGATCGGGGCAAACACAAAGTAGCTCATATATATGGTGGCAGGGTCGCTTACCATTTCGTTCCTCTGTCGTAATGTAAAAAAAATTAGGATCGTGAAAGATGTCATTATATCATTTTGTTATCTGCAATCGTATATATTTTGAAACTAAAATATTAGCATAAGTTTCCTTGGTAGAGTTGATTTGCATGTCTTTTCTTCTATTTGAAGTGCAAGTTTGAATCTTATTTTGTGTCATTTTCTTAGCTTTTAGCTTTAAAAAAAAATACAATTCAAACATAGGATCTCACATACAAAAAGTAAGAAACTAATCAATAGATTAATAATAACTGTGTGAAAAATATTATATCTTTTTTCATATAATCAAATGTTGCTATCGTTTAAAAAAAACTCTTTATTCACAATATGATTTAATAAAATATTTGATTAAATACATAAATTAGTTTTATATGATATTTAAATAAAAATCCATTTGTAAATACTAGAAGCGTACTCGCGCAATGCAGCGAGATAAATCGTGATTTTAATATTTCATTTTATCCTTTATCTCAGTCGATGTTATAATATGACTTTATGTGATTTTGAGAAAACGATGATGTTTTTATTTTTGAATAAAATATATGTTTGAAGATATCA